TGGGTCTTTGGAGCGGACAGGTAAAGAGATATTCGGCGGTGTTTCAGCGGTGGGTGTTGCTGCAGGGTCATTCGGATTAAAATGAGAAGTATCTCCAGCACTGGTCGAAGAAAGTACTGGAGTCATAGGAAACTTGAAGTCTAGTATTGGACCCGAGGCTTTTCGCCTTGTGGGGGACCTGGTAACATCAGGTGTATTAGGAGCTGTCACAACCCCCGGTCCTCGACCAAAGGCATGCTTCGAAGGGGGGAATGAATGGTTATTAAACACCGGAGAAGAGTCCGAGCTAAGGGGTGATCGGCGCGGCAGTGCCGCCGATTGAGGTCCATTCGTTATACCGTTAGTACCGCTACGTGGTACAATCTGGAGGCTGGCTGATCGGCCGTGGCCGCGACCCGGTCGTTGGGCTCTCGCTTGATTACCATTTCCGTATACTTGGTCCTCGACGGTGGCATTGGAGCCTATGGACACGATGGAGAGAGATCGCTTATGGGCGTGGCCGGGGGTTTGAGGAAGCATGGGCAACTGGGGAGGAACCCATTGGTGGGCGTTACCCCTAAGACGCGAACTTGTAGGAGGCGCATTGAGGGATAATGTCGAACGGTGGCCGCGAGCGGGCGAAGGAGGTGTCAAGCCATTGGTAGATTTCCCTCGAGGGTTCAGTAAAGGCGACGGCTGTCTTGGTCGATCGGTCCGCGGGGATGACTGCGAAGGTTGACGTTGGTTCGAGGGTGATGGTGAGGTTGAGGCAAGCTGGCTGGGGCCAGGAGCAACGTTCTTGAAGGTGATCTGGCATCTGATCTCCTCACCGGCAAACACGGTCTGGTCATCCCATTTTATGAAGACACGGATATTGGTTGAGCGTCCTTCGGGCGGCATCGTGGCACTCCTTTAGGGAAAGGAGAGTAGTCATGAGCGCAGCCTCATCGTTGTCGGTGCTCGAACCTCGAAGAAAAGGCGAGCTCGCAGCAAGGTGCTGTCTGGAGCTCAACCAAAAGTGGCCGCGATGGTGATGGATGGTTTACTTGGGGACTGGGAGAACTGGCAAGTCGTATGTTGGAGCCTCGGATGGGCGGTCGAGATTCGAGTTGCTTATTGTCACTTGTCACGTTCGTTTTAAGGTGTATTAGACGGACGATAAAGCAGTTGAAACCTGCAAAGAGTAAAGGTAAACGTATGTCAATTCATTCGAGAAAAGATGTCACTATCCACGCGGCACAGATCACGATTGTGTGATCTATAATGGAGGAGTGTTATGTGCTCCATTTCCAGGAGCTTGGATGGATGGATGGATTGGATAGATGGATGATGTACTGTGGTCTATGTAGGTATCTCCTCAGCACGCGCCGGCACTATAACTGGCAAACTGGCTGGCAGGCAGGGATCAGGTACCTTAGGTAGGTAATAGTCCTGAGGTGGTCAGTGCATCATTCCACCAATTGCTTCCAACTGCCCAATCAGAGCTGTGCAATTTCCCCAATTGGGGTTCTACCGTCGACGTAGAATAGGTACCAGGTACTCAGTACTCTCTCAAAAGAAAACGCCGATTTGAGGCTTGGTGAGTGTCCAGTACGAGGTAACGTTCATTTCAGTATCAATCTCTAGATATGTACACTTTTGTCCTTCAATAGCAAAGCCATTTTAACCCAAACTCCCCTATATACGTAGGCAATACCTCTGGCTGCCTAATCCATCATCCTATGATTAAAACCTGTAAGAAACTAATATATATGAAAGAGTGTGAGGTATACTATGTAGAAACTTGGTCGGCGTATGGTTCTCTCCGTTGAGCCTTGGTCACTGATACATACCGTAGGTATTGTTCAGAGCACCAGGGCACCACTTCAAGGGTTTCAAATAATCGTGTCCGCAGCTTCAGTCCTGCTCAGTCCTGCTCAGTCCCAGACAGACAGGTAGACAAACAGACAGATAAACAGACAGGTCAACACGACCTTGAATATCTGCAACCTCGCATCGATTCACTTATTGTCTTCGTGGTACGAATCCGAGACTCCTCCGCATCCACCACAAGGGATCGCCTTCCCATCGGTGCACTTATTGCATTTCCCGCAGTGCCACTCTTGGCGTTCACTACAGCTTGCGCAGTCTCTGCAGTGCCATATATGGTGGCCTTGCTGCCAGCTACCGATCCGTCCACTATTAGGGTAGCAGAATGAGAAGAACCATTCCCCCTGCTTCTCGCCTAGGCCGAGTCCGATTCGGAGAAGATCACGTTCGAGCTCTTCCGTTTGTGCTACCGGATCCGGTCCATTGCACGTCGTCTCCCACTTCACTCGCCATGCGTCAATAGCCTCGTCGTTACCATCCGGTACATAGCCTAGACCGGACAGGAGATGCTCAAACAGATAGTCTAGTGTGATAGCCTGATCCAGCTTGTTGTTCTGCAAGTAGGTGATGAAACACGGATGCAGCTTTGTTGGAAACCCAGAAGCGTCGGTACCGAGAATATTGTCGAGCGCAATGTCGTTGAAGTTGTTTTTGCATGTCTCGTCACAGCCACAAGACGCAATACAGCCATAACCCTGATCACTGCAAGCACACGTCTGGCAGAGATGGGGGCCCGAACTATCATCCACATTCTCGCACTGGCAGCCCGTAGAAGACGGCGCAGGGCCGTCGGTTTTCTTCTACATAGTGTATGCATTAATTGAACTGTAGCTTGGGTATATACGTGGAAGATCCGTGCTAAGACGAAATAGTGGGTATGAAGCTTACCTCGGTCACTGGCGCGTCAGGTCTGTACTCGGGAACATGAGAGAAATCCGGGCTATCTTCAAACTCTTCGAGATCCTCTTCGAGGTCTACCCTAACTTCGGGGGTGGTTTCAGACCCAAATACACGCCCGTCGATACTGCCGCCAAAGCTGCGCGTGTCGACTGTGATCAAACTCTCATCTGGCGTGAACGCCCATTCCTGTTCCCAACGCAGGAACTGAGGAGGCTCGTTGAAGAGCCAAGAGTCATACCACCGACCAACAGCCGGCCTGTGCCGGAATTCTTCGAAAAACTTCTGTCCCAGCTCCTCTGTAAGGCGCTCCAGTGTCGTTCGCATGTCGCGGACCAAGCGCATTCGTTCTGCCTTGTCGTGCGGTGACATGACGCTCTTCTTGCAGGCGTGTACCTGTCTCATGAACCCGCTCGACATGTTACCCTGGATGTCGCACACGATCGACTCCGAGATGAACTTGATCATCTGCTCATGTGCAGCTGGGTCGTCGGCAGGAATCGCGCTCCAACTGACAGGGCGTGGCGCCGGCGCCCCGTTTGGGTGCAGTCGCCTCATTGTGTTAATGCCAGACCTGTCCATTTTCGTTCTTAGTTTGTTTGCGAATGTCGCGAGGAATATAGAAGTCCCGAGTATTAAAAAGACAATCTGTTGAAACACACAACGCGGTTACAGAGAAAGCTGAAGTTGGTTCAGCAACGACACAGCACAGCACAGCACAGCAAGCAAGCAGAGGATTACACCACCCAACATCCCACTTTTCACGCACGGATTATGACGTTTAATAGAATTTGTCTTGTTTGATTACAGATTGAGTCCCAGCAGGTATCTACTCTACCGGTACCACGTGGAACCATGATTTGTCAATGTTGATACTATGATTAGTACTAGCCAGCCCCTGAGCCGATCCTTCGACGGGGTAAGCTTTCTAGAAACAGTCAGCAAAGTCAAGGCTACAGTCTACACTAGCAACTCACCAAGACCAAAGTCAGATGTCAAAAGCAACACTATGCTAATGAATGCGCAAGACTTTTAAGCGCTATCCTGATGAAAATCGAAGTCCGGGAACAGCACGAACAAAACATAAAAAATATCAACGTATGCTGTCAGGAAACGGTAATATATGTGGTTCGTTGTCGTATTTGAGTTTGGCTTGGCAGTGCTGCATCAGCCGGGCCTATTTCGCCGCGTCGCTGTGGCTGACCAAAGAGGAGAGATAGTTCCAAATTTGTTATTTTTTTGGAGCATGGGGATGACCCTTTTTTTTTCAGCTGAAGCAGGTGATGGTGTCATTAGTGTGGTCGATAACACTGTTGTAGTCTCCCCAATGTTTGCACACTAGCGAAGCTAGCTTAATGTCATCCGGCTTGTTTTTAGGGCATTCGGGAACTCCCGCAAAATCTGGCGGGTTCTACAGTACATACTATATGTACTTTATTAACCCTGCTTATCTATTGGATACTTCAATCTTTATTAATTCCTACATGGTACCCTTTTTACTTACCCTACTGGAACTTTATTTCTGTAAGCTGTACAGCAGCATGGGCTTGACCATGTGTAGTGTAATAAGTAGATTCAAACGAAACTGCTAGTCGTTAGTTTTCTATCGAGCAGGCAGATTAGGATACTACTCCTTTTTCTAGTAGTGCAGCTAACATTAGTGTTAGAAAACGTTTGGCCACTTTGTTTAATCTTGTATGTAGACCAACCCCGGATCTTCCATCTCTAAACCATGCTTTCGTCCTGCTCGGTTAGTTATTTAACAGCTTACCTAGCGTAGATAATAAATACCACATTAACAAGCCACGGTGAATGCTTCTGTCCTCGCGACAATAACCCGCTCCAAGTCTCGCATAATTTACCATGGTCGAACAGTATTACGTAGTTATTCGTGGTCTCCCATATACCGAAGATAGCTAGTACTTTCATCTAGGTATTGACCCTAGCATTCACGGCCTCGTTAGTGTCGCAATAAGCGATATTGAGATAAGAAATGCCTGGTAACCCTTGGCGAAAAGGATCTTGCGAGCAGCACGAGAGGAGAATCTTCAATTGATTTAATTAAACTAGCCCTTCCGGCAAGCGTACCCTGCACGTCTACTCGAGAGCCGCAAACTCCTATACGGAGACTATTAGAGGAGCCCCTACACTAAGTAGGGATGCGTTATCTCTGCGTGTAGCTCTAGCGGGAGAAACGATAACGAATCCAAGTGAAATGCAATAGCGGGTTTTTGCACAACTGGGAGACACAATCCGCCCGGTTAGCTCAATCGGTAGAGCGTGAGACTCTTAATCTCAAGGTTGCGGGTGAGTAGCTCTTCATTAAAACACAAAATGTTAGTGATTTAAATACTAATCCTTCCTAGGTTCGACCCCCGCATTGGGCTCAATTCCTAATGCCTCCCAGTTCAACTGGGAGTAGCAACCAACTTTTTGTCATTTTTTCGCTACTTCGTTGTTTTATTCTTGGATATGCAGATGCTAGAAGGTTACGCTTGCAATGTGACTGTTTGGTTTGCACTGCACGATGCAAGGTCTATGCTGTGATTGGCACGTGAAGACTGACTTTCAGTGACGAATCGACTGAGAACATGCGCATGAGCACAGGCTTCTTATTAAGACTCTCTTTGACGACTCGATTTCCAGATGATTATCATACTCACCTGAATAATATCTAGAACAAAGCTAAGGGCATTTCCCGTTTAGTCTATTGATCCTCATAGCAAAATGTTTCCTTGTTTACGACAATCAAAAATCTCATACTCATGATATTCTAAGAATATGGGTCTCACCAGAGTCGAGATATATCGTTCACTCATCACTTAGTCTTCTAGACCCCTTAAGAGGCCCCATTAGTGAGGAGCTGAAGTCCTATCAAAATGTAGGAATATATGTTGTCAATGTTCTACGGTGCGGACCTCTGCCTCAAGTTGTATGCACAGTCAGCTTCATGAGTGTATAGCTGTATAATTCAGTATTGTGTTTGCCATGTATCGACCTCGAAACATCTATGCGTGTTTAAATGGGGTCTCGGATGGTCCGAATGTCTCGTATAGCTTTAGAAAGAGATGCTTAAAGACTTGTGTCGAGTGGGGGACATTCAACTGTGTCGCTAGGTATAACATTTCGAATTAGCTTCTTAATCTTAACTAAGTGTGATACTATATATACTACCTCTATGAGACACCATGATATGCAGTTTAAATGTATGCATGGAGGAGAAAACCGACAGCTTCTTCATGCTCATTCCCTTGCATCTAAGACACCTAATAAACCTACTTATTAAGACATCTAACATAATTTTTTTTTTCGTTGAGCTATGTACATCCATATTTATCAAAGCTTACACATTGATTGATTGATAGTGTTTAACGTTAAGAGGGCAATATCTAGCAAAGTATACATTTTGCGGTATTCCCAAAAAGCTTACACATGACAATGCAAAAACTACGGTAAGGCAGTAGTGTTTGAGGGTGAGCTGTCTATTGACTTGATGTAGTTCCCTCCAGTTATTAACTTCACAGGCTGCTGTTAATAGCGATTGCATATTAATCATGTTGAACAATTTAGTGGATTCGAGGTAGACGTATTATGCAGCTAAACGAGCGGTTAACTCAACGTACTCCTGAGCAACATAGGGAAAAGAATCGAATGGTAGAGGTAGAGATATCAAGCTAGCAAGCTTCCTTATAGCTGGGAGAGTGATGGTTCTCCGGTCACCAACATCATCATCCTTATTCTCCTTTATACAAGCTATCCACCGTTCTTCAGTGCCACCAATTCGGCTCTAAAGAACTACTCTAAGTAATCAATGACACAAATTACGAAGAAACTACCAGTGCCTTAGATACCCTCTGGTTATTCGCTGTCTAAACTATTGACAAGCTGAGCTGCAAGGAATGCGCCTGAGCTGTCCGCAGGCTACACCAATTGCAGGGAGTTAGCTAGTTTACCCAGCTTCATTCTTACTAAATCGTGGGCATCGTGGTCTTATCCAGAATGCCCTATAAGGGCAGATGGGATCCCAAACTAGCGAGCCATCACACCAGCGTTCCAGACGCCTCGGGTGTGATGCTCTGGGTTGTAGGCAGGAATATCTCTGTTGCCACTCGAAAGATTCCTGATTTTGGTTTGAAGAATGACGTTTCAGGCTGTTTCTTAAGTGAGCGAAGTAATAGTGAAGTCTTAACTCATCAGCTTGCCTAAAACCTTGGGATAAGCTCTAGAACGTCACAGGAGGAACAGCTGAGGTTGTAATTAGCTCGGAGTTAGTAGATTGAGAAGCGTCAATGCTTTGTAACAGCCTGGCCAGAATTTATTCGACCGTGGAAGGACCAATTTCGACAAATATCTCGGGACCGAAGGACCAATTCGGCCGAATTGGTTATTAGCAACATACCTTTTCCTACCAATAAGGAGAGGCTCGATGTTGTCCTGCTTCACATGTTAAGACTGTGGCGAAGAATAGCCTGCATCTACCTGGGGCCATATGTAGGTCGTATATCATCAGCAAAGTTGTCTGTATGGCGCGCATTCTGGGTTGGTCCGGATCGCTGAAAGCTTTGCTAATCAACCTATGTCAAAGATGCGTCCAATTTCCGAGAGTACTACTCTGTCGGATCAAATTACAAGGTATTCAGTCGTTTACTTCCGTATGATGATTTCACGCTCCCATCATATGAATCGTCCAGCACATATAAAATACCAAGTGGAAGGCCAACAAGAGAAATTCATGAAGAGTCCTCACGAAATAGGGTTTATTTACTAGCAAAGATGCAGAATCTCGTCATTTTACTGCAAATTACTCTGTTCCTCGGCGCTCACGCCTTGCCAGATTCACATGTCTCTTCAGATTATGGTGCTCTCAACTTTAAAGCAAATTTTGGGAACACACCTCAGCCTATGACTGTCGACGTGAGCCCAAAGTTCGTGGCAACTACTCGAACCAAAGCCGGTCTCACGCGCCCAGCAATCGACCTCGGGGAGACTCCCTGGACTGAAGGCGTTCCAGCCGCGAACATTACTTACATTGCCGACTACTGGGCGAATAACTACGAGTGGTTTGATGTACAGAAGCGGATCAACGAGAACTTTGAGCATTTCACCACTACCGTCGGTCCCTTAAGTCTTACAAACTCTACCTTCCTGGATCCTATTCCACTTCACTTTGTGCATCATAGATCTTCACGCACAGACGCGATTCCCCTACTGTTCATCCATGGATGGCCCGGCTCATTCCTCGAAGTAGAACGGATCCTACCTGGATTATTGAACCCCCCCTCCCCATCGGATCCAGCGTTCCACGTCGTTGCACCGTCGATACCTGGGTTTGGCTTCTCGCCCGCACCGCGGAAGGCTGGATTCGGCTTGATCGAGACAGGCGCCGCATTTAACGAGCTCATGCACCAGCTCGGCTATAGTCGTTACGTGATGCAGGGCGGAGACTTTGGTTCTCACACTAGCCGTTACATGGGAGCCATGTTTCCAGAATCCGTCGTGTCCATCCTTGTGAACTTGTGGGGTGTACATCCAAATGTCACCGACCACGAACGTTTCGAACAGAACTTGACTTCGCCAGAGGAGACATCTTTTATAGAATCCGACGAAGCTAGCGAGCCTCTTGTTGAGGCTTTTTGGGGCATTCAACGAACAGTGCCCCTCCAAATCGGCATGCTACTGGGCGATAGCCCAGTTGGCAATGTCGCGTGGCCTTACTTAGGTATGGTGGGAATGACGCCTGGATATAACTGGTCTGTCGAAGAGATCATCACATGGGCCATGATGCTGTACATTCAAGGACCGTATGGCAGCGTACGGATATACAAGGAGCTCGGAAGGGTAAGTCCAGATAGAAGCAGACATGAAGTCCACTTATGGGTGCAAAATGCTGATAACCCTACAGGAGGGAACCCTTGATTACGCCTTCCCATACGTCTCGGTGCCAGTTGGCGTCCTGCAATACTACGGAGATGCGGGCTACGGTGCGCCGCGTGAATGGTGTGAGAGGACTGGTAATGTGACATACTTCTCGCGCAGGGAAAAGAGTGTCGGCGGAGGGCACTTTCCGTCAACTGCTAATCCGGATGATCTTGTCAATGAGATTAGGAAGTTTTGGGGATCTCCGAGTGGTGGATGGATGGCTTAACGGTTCATGTTACATACTAGCTCACACATAACATGATGTTGCCATGATAAACCAGGTTGGAATCATCTACTTATGATGTTGACAAGTGGACGAGAAAGGTTCTACCCCGGAAGGCTCCGAAGTAGATAAGGCAACATGAATCGTCTCGTCTCGGACGCAAGGGTAACTGAGTGCCAATAACCTGGAAAGCGAGCATAGGAATGCAGAGGTACTAGTAGAAAGAAAATAGCGGCTCGTAACGTCGTTTATGTGGGAAACCTCTACGTTGGGATGACTACGTTCGGGTTTGACGCAACTGTGTATGTTGGTGTCTATGCTGGTAACCGCCCTTCGACTTGAAGTTGATTCTTTCCTGTAGACTGAAACATCCCTGAAATATAAAGAAGGGGTATCCGGAGCGAATGCTTCAACAGCTAAAGAAGCTTACAAAATAAGGAAAGCATCACTAGTAACAGTGTGTGGGAAAGTACACACTGCACCGTCATATTCAAGCAGTTTAAGTTCTAAAGACTATACATTGTCCTGAGACCACCACCATCAACACAACTATGACCCATGAAACTAGTAGCTTTCTTAATCGCTCAAACAACTACAAATTCAGTATTAGTGCTGGCTTTCGCAAGGGGAAATTATACAGCCAGTCTTTCACTTGCCCCAAAGAATATTAGCCATGTCCAACTCGGCCACCAAATCCAACAAAGCGGAACCCATCACCAGGTACCGGTATGCTTACCGGCCTCCCTCTAGATCTGATTCGAGTACCTCATCAGATGCCACCCCTGGCCCCAAAGTATTGGTAAGATCACCATCCGCCAATGGAATCACCCAGGGAGTATCCAGTTGTTTTATTAATTCTGTCTGTAGATGACAGGTGCAAGTTCCTTTCTGGGCTTCGCGACAATGATAGCGGCCCTTAACTCTGGATACCAAGTCCGTTTCATATGCAGAAGTATAAAACAGGCCAGCGATATGCTGGATCTTCTCCCCAGAGGGAAAGAAGCGTGGCCCATGATCCAGGCTATTGAGGTTCCAGATATGACGATTCCTGATGTTCTCGACAGTTGCATGACTGATGTAGATTACATCATTCATATGGCCTCCCCTACGTCTCTTGAGGCAAGTTTTGCCGCGACATGGAGCGGGATGAGACATTTTTGACATAGTTCTAGTCCGACAGCGCAAATTACAAGAAGGATTACGTGGAAGCTGCCCCAGACATCACCCTGAATATCTTGTCGGGGG